ATTTTAAACATTCATACCACAAAAAAAGATAAGTAGGTGAGATGATGGATATGTTAATTAGCTTGATGTAATCACTCCAAAATGTATACAAATATGAAAACATCACATTTTACACCATAAATATATACAAGGGGGAAAAAAAGATAGTCATGACCACCCTCTTGAAGCACACATTCTAATAAACAAATTGTATACATGGAAGAAAGGAAATAAGTAGGATGCTACAATAAAGAGTAGGGTGATAGTGCGGAGGAGGCTACTTGGCTACAGGAGTCAAGGAAGGTCTCTGTGAGAAGGAGACCTTTAAACTGATTCCTGAAGGATGAGTACGTACAGTCACATACGAAATAGGAAAGAGAGCCAAAAACCAGGAAAGAAAAAGATCCTGAAGCACGAAAATGCTTGGCATAATTAAAGAACTAAACACTAGTCTAATTGTGTTATAGTTAGTAAAAGTAAGAATAATATGAGATGAAGTTGGAACGGTAGTCAACAGTCATCCAAGGCCCTTGTGAAATTTTCTGCTATATGCTACTAGAAAGTTTTAAGTCAAGAAAGCATATAATCTGATTTGTATTACAAAACAGTTATATTGGCAGCAAAACTGTAAAAAAAAATAAAATAAAAATCAGTAAGAGAGGAGGTGAGTAAACCACTTTGGAGGCAATAAGAGTCATCCAGGCAAGTCAGAACCAGAGTGGCCTTGCCACTCCAAGTTAAGACATCTTAACTTTACCCTCTAAATTATTGGAAGGCTACAAGAATTTTTAGAAAGAAAAATTACATTATTATTTTTATTATATTTTATAAAATGTTTATTACATTAACCTATATGAAATCATATTTACTATCTTATTATTTTGCATTATATATTAGTGTTAGCACTGCCCTGCCAACATCTTGATTTTGGATGTCTGGCCTCCAGATTTTTTTTTTTTTTTTTTTTTTGTCTTTTTCCGTGTCCGGCAACAGATCGCAACCCTCAGTATTGCCCCGTACCGGACCGGGGACCAGCAAACGGGATTGCAACCCTCGGTGTTGCTCCCGTGCCTCGCTCAGCCAGTGAGCGGGAACCGGTCTGTATGTGGGATCCGAACCCTCGGGCGGGAGCGCCACCGCGCTTCCCAAGCAGCGCACTTATCCAGTGCGCCACCAGGCCGGCCCTATTAGTGTTATTTTCAAAACTGTTGTCAGTATTATACTGAGTGAAGAAACTTTGGCAGTACTCCAAGAAGGGATAAGAGTCTGAACTAAGGGACTATCAAAATTAAAAATCACAGACAGACCAGAGAGTTAATACAGAATTTTTTAAAAGGCTCAATAACAATCTGAAAGAAGAGAGTGGGAGGTGAAGGAGCTGAAGAGTAGTCCAAATAAGTGTTTCTCATTATTTGTGAAAACTTACTTTTTTTCTCCCTCAATCCATCATCAGTTGATGCTTTTGAAAAATAAAATAAATTCTTTTCAATCCATCATCAGTTGATGCTTTTGAAAAATAAAATAAACTACACAAAATAAAAGCACAACTGCTTTTATTATTTGACTCAGTAGATGTAAAATTAAATTTCAATAAATATAATCACACAAACACAACATGGGGGAAAATATTATTATGTAAACTGTTCATGTTGATCACTGAAAGTGAATAAGTAAATAGGTCACTAATACAGACAATTGCTATTACATTTGTAACTTTTCTTTATTACACATAAAAAGTTTTAAGAAAAGAACAATAAACCAAAAGAAATGCCTATATGAATGCTCTGAAAAAATACTGGGAATACAAGTATTTAAAGTTTATGTTGTGACAATGAGCTTTTTGCTTGTTAATTTATCTAATCTAAATTGAACTGGTAACAATGCTACTCATGGGAATAATGTATATCTAACCTGTTTTTGTCTTATTTCAGTAACACTCAGAAAGGAGAAAGCAGTGTCATAGAGGTATGTTGATGGAAAAGAAACTCAGAGAGCTCAGAAAATCTATTTTAAATTTGTATCCAAAATGAAGCTAGAAAATGCTGTAACTTCAAAATATATCCCTATATTCATCAATAGCCAGCTCCAATAATTCATCTTGTATAGACAGTTACAATAAAAAATAAATTACATTTCAATGAAAGAAATGGACTCTAGGCCCATGAATTTCCTGTTCCTATGGATCTCCTCTTACCAGAAAATAAAATATAAAACATTCTACTAAATCCATAAAATGATGGGTGGCTACTTTTCAAGTATGAACAAAATCAGATCATTCCAAAAGATCAAGTTACTTCATTGGCAATTATTATTAAATTGTGAAACATGCCACAGAAACTGTGTACCTCCAAGATTTTAACTTTCGTTTTTATTCTTTGACCTTATCTATCATGGAAAAACATGTTGCCATCCTTCCCTGTTTGGAAGCATTGAGTTCATGAAAAGTATTTTAGATGTCTGACAAAAAGGCCCGTCTAATTCATATTTAAAAAGTAAAATCAAACTGATTTCTTGTCTTAGCGTAGAAACACTAAGAGTTTATTTTGTAGCTCCGACATCACCAACAGCAATTTTTCCCTCAAAAAGCACTGCATCACAGTTGCAATAACTGTTTAATCGACAGCTATGTTATCACA